GAGAACCTCCAGTTGCCGAGGGGAAGGGGCTGCCACTGCCGGGCGCAATCCCCCGCTGGAGCGCCGGCTTCCCGTCAAGAGACAGTGATTGTTGAAGGCGCTTCTGCGTCAAAATTCCCCTCGATGTAATGTTAGCCGTGAAGTGAAAGGGGCGCGGCCATTCACTTCACGGCTAACATGCCACGCAATGGCACGTTTTGCTGCAGGTCGCCTTTTGCCGAGCGGCGGAGGCTTGAGGACAGCGGAGCGCTCGGCGCTCCCGCAGCGGTACCCGCGGTGTCCCGGGAAACTGATCTGGAGTTCCAGTGCTTTAACCAATGTAACTGATCTTGCGTTAGAACTTCTTTTTTAAGACTCTCTGAATGGATGCTGTAATGTAACCTGACCTTTCCTGTGCATCATTACAGTGAGTGATCGGAACACTGTGAATAGTTAATGACTTTGCCGGTGCCGCTCACTTTCACTGCACCGTAGCGCAGCAGAAATAACATTTATCCATTTATCCCTATCAGGTTCAGCCCATCTCCTCTGTGCGCTTCACAGCCCTGCATGCGGTGCCCTTGGGATACGTATTGGATGCTTCCGAGTCTGCTACAGCGTCGTGCAAACTTGTTTCTGAGAAATGGCAGACTTGGTGATGTTTCTTGTAGCTGAAATATGCCACGATATTTGAAAAATGCTGGAATATTGATATAGTTTGTGACACACATTCTAGCAATAGTTTTGAGCAGCTTTTGGATCAAAATTTTGAACAATGCATTTTTCCATGAAAATTTGTCCCTTTTGGAGAATGACCCCAGCATGCTTCCTGAGAGATTACTATGGGAGTCCTTCATCTCACATCTGCTTTCTCCAACCACAAGTGTACAAATTTGTGAAAATAACTATTTTATCAGTTCTTTGTAACACTATATAATAAATATTTTCTTTTAGGAGTTTTATATTTTTTTCTTTTCCTCCTAGTTCAGTAATTAGCTGCTGAAAAATGTGACCTCCCAGCTCAACTTGAAAGTACTTTAGGATTGCTGTTTGGAAAGAGATTTGTTCAATTATAATTGGTGAGGCTTGTGTAGGGTGCTTAAAAAAAACATCCTGCCTATAGCTGTCTGCCAAATAACTAAATTGTATCTTTAATTAGAATTGTATCCCACACAGCCATCATAAAGTTACCTGGTTCTTCTGAATTAGGATTTACCATAGAGCTATATATTTTACTTCTTGATAGTAGATACAGCATTACACTTAGCTTTGTCCTAAGCCATGTGAAACTCAATTATGCCTGTATTTAATGGAGACCACTGCTCTCCATGGCTTGCCAAAATCTATCTTAAGGCATAAGTGCAGAGGTCTATTCTATTCGCATTCTTAATCTGCTGCACATTTCAGGGCAGATTTAGTTCATATGAGCTGTAGTCTGGGCCCTGGACTGAATGCACGTTAGTGGTTGAACTGTTTTAGGTGAATTTCTGATGTTACCATCTGGTCTGAGAAGCCTGTCCTGCAGGTCTCCTGCAATCAGGGATGCCTCAGCCCAGCAAATGTACTTCCAGAAGGGATGAGGATGTTCTTATTGGCAAGCTGGTTCCTCTGAGAGCTCTCCCAACCAAACTGTCCTGGCTTCTGGACATCAGCCTTGAGCTTCCTCCACTGAACATCCCAAAAATAAGACCCAAACTGTTGAAATTCAACTCCAATTTGTACAGCTTGATTACTGGGAAGATCCGGGCTCTAAACTTGGTTTTTGAAACAACTACAAATATCCTGCAGTGTAGAGACAATACAGAACAGAGCCCTCACTACCGGGGGCTTGGGAACAAGGAGATTTATATGGTTTTTAAAAAAAAAAATACAAAGGAGGAGCTGCAGGGCATTACGCTGCCAGAGCAATGGGGGTGAGAAGGATTTCTCTTTCCCTATGGGGAGGATGATGGAAACATGTGTGAGACCTGTTTTCCACTAAAAAGATACATTATCAGCAAGACTTCCACTCTCACATGTGTTGCTAGCTGAAGTAGTCAATTAATTAAGAATTTGGATGATCTTTGCAGATCATCTGTTTCTAGGAGAATATAGTATGCTTTTCCAGGCCACCAATGTGGAAGAATTTTGATGTAATTTTGATAAAACACTCCATGTGACATAATTCTTGCTTCAGGATCTCTGTAACAACACCTTGTGCCAAGAGCAAAGGCATCCAAACTGAATGACTATGGGGAAGGGGCTAACACTCAAATATTATGCCTATTGTTTACAAATGTTTTCTAAAAGCTTATACAGGTGATGAGACATCTGGTGATCTGTTTTTGACATGTGCTTAAAATGGCAGCTGCTTCTGCAGCCAATAAATTCATTTCAAAATGCAGCAGTGTGTCTTTCCATCCACTCCAATGGGGTTTGCTCAAACATCGAGGCTGAGTGAAACCTGGTGGGTACTACACATGACTTTTAGGCATCTTGGAATTTGCTGAGCACCCCAGAATATAGGCAACTAAGTAGGTGGCTAATTTGCAGTTTTGGAAATCAGGCTGCTTAGTGTCCAAAATTCTAGGAGTTTAATCTGCAGAGTTTTGGCATTAGTTTTCAATATTTTTAGTTCTCTCACCTCTGAAATATGAATTATAAATCTGTGGTTTTTAATAAGACTGGATCTAACACAGCTGCTATACCGAGAAAAGTGCATGTCCTCTGCATGGAAATTTCCAACTTCACAGAAATAATTAAATATTTCTATTGCTATTACCTTTCCTGTCCACTCTGCCAGTGAATTGAGCTCCCATGGCAGAGCTACCACCCTGACCCATGTGTGCTGCTTAGTGACCCCAGCATTGTGCTGAGGTGGCATGCGGTCAGCTCACAGCCTATGGGAGCTGTAACCCCATTGTACCAAGCCCAGTTTGGTCTTCTAACACCTGTGGTGGCTTCAATTTCTGCTCCTATCATCTTTTATTATTTCCTCATACTGTTGTTCAAAACCTTGAAATCCTTGCTAATGATAGTGCCAAGTTTCTTTCCCAATCATTTCTACTCTGGGTTTAGTATGTACAGGGTCTATGAGACAGAAATACAACTTGTACATAAGATTTTAAAAATATGTTTTCTGGTCTTTGTTAGACAAGGCACACCTTTTGGGCAGGGAATAATTTCATATTTGTTCAACATATGTAAGCAATAATAAACTAAACCAATTGAAATCCACTAGTTTTATCATATTAACCATGACCTTTTTTTCATATTCTAAGGCATGTCAAGTACTTACTAGAAGCAAGACAAATAATATTGTCATAAAGCATGATGCAGAAACTATCCTGGGCCAAATGCATGTTCATTTTTTACCTTCATTATGTTTAATCTTTCAGGATGGTATATTTTTTCTTACACAAATTGATGCTTCCACTTTACTAAATACCTTTTTTGCACTGCTCATTTTAATTTGGCACCAGAAAGTGCACATCATACGAAGATAATGTCCTGCTCACATAATGTTGGCTAATTTAAAAAAAAAGCAAGATCACTGAAAAAGAGGGAAATTTGGAGATTCTTTCAGTGTCCCACTAGATAAGTTCTGTAGGCAGGTGTCCTGGTTTAGGAAGACCACAAGTTTTAAAGAAATAAAGGGGGAAAATGTAAACATTATGGCTATGCAATCTCTCTCTACTGATATTTTGTGCCTTCTTAAAAGTAGAATGAAAGTAGGCATCCCTGTGCTTCTGCTCAAAGCAAATGGGGAGCAGTGTCCCTCATAGTGTAGACTTTGTATGTGGAGGTGGTAACTGAAAATGGTAATTGTGATATTGACAGGTTTTCAGATAGTGCAAATAGGGACTTGCAGACCCTGGACACTCCTAGTCTGTGTCCAATTGGAACTGCTGTGTGGATTTTTCATACTACATACACAGCTGAAAGAAAAATGAGAATTAGGATGGGTACAGATTTTTTTTTAACTTGGCGCTGAGCAGGCGACATTTTGCAGTAATTATATAAATTATATAAATTCAAAAACTTAGATCAATCTTTTTAGCAATTAAGATGAATGGTTGGTTTTGAAGACTATGAAGTGAAACCTTGAAATTGTGAAATGACTACCTGGGCAGATAAAAAACAAATCTTGTTCATATTTATACATAAAGAGGCGAGTAATGAAATAGGTCACTTATTTAATCTGCTTAGTGATAGTGCTATTGTTGTTTTGTACCTACAGCAATCCCTCGAGTCAAGTAGAGCTTGTGAGCCATCTTCTCAAATGACAGAAAAGTGCAAGCTGGAAGTACTATTAGTGTGCCTTGGGATTTCAGTGCAGCTGCAAAGCTGTGCAAGCGATCGACAAGAGCTGAGGACTGCCATGCTGAACTTGTGCTTTATCCTGGTATCTGTAGGCAGTGTGGTACTGCTACACACTGAGGAGATCACCTCACCCTCACACCTATTTCCCTTTCCTTTGAGTCTCTCAGCAAGCCCTCACTCTTATCTCAGGAAAGAAAAAGGTTCTTCTTTGTGCTCCATTTTCATCCCTCTCTTTATACCCTGTAAAGATCAATTAAGGTCTTTGTACAGTGCATATTCTACTTTGTTTTAAAGGACTGTAAAATGCTTAGGACTGTTATTTTAAGGAATTAATAGTAAATATCAAATGTGTGAATCAGTTACTCACTTTTAATATTCAAAATGAGAGCATATGAGTTATAGGATTTTGTCCTGTAATAATTATAGCCAGGATAATTTAGTGAGTCTTTTAATCATGTCAGCTAAACATATGTACTACTCATTTGAAATCCCTTTTTAGATTTCCCAGCTTTTTGTCTAGACCACCACTCAACATCCATTCTTACCTTAGGGAATTTGCTTCCTCTCAAGATGTGCATGCCCAGTACTGCATCCCTCATGACAGAAAACCCTAGAGCAGCACATTTTCTTTGCCCTCCCTCCTCATCACCTATGGGAAACAGCCTTGCTTCAAAGCCCTTCATCCCATCTGTGAAAGATTCAGAAGCTCCTTCAGCCTCTGATTCTGGCTCAAGAGAAGTAGTAGGGGCTAAAGATTAAGGTCTTTGTGCCAGTTGCTATAGAGATTATAAAAAAAGGACAATTTTAGTTTCTGAGAACAAACCATTCAGGGTAAATAAGGATAGACAAGACACAAGTGTTCAGACAGACATGAAGAAGGTGAAGGCAGCAGTTAGTCTGCATGCATTTGTATAGTTTGTATGGACATATTAACTACAAGGAGCCAGTCATCTTAAGTGTTGTTAGAAAAAGGAAGGCAGTTGATGGCAGCACTGCAGAAGCTGGTTTTAAGGAGGTATTTACAGAACAGAGAATATGAATGATGATATTGATTTCTCATTAAAGGTACTTCAGATGATTCCTTTTATACAGCTCCTAAATTTGAGTTTTTTCAGTAGTGGAATGTGTCAGAAGCAGGACAGAAAGAGTTAAGAGCTGATGTTTTATCCTGGAGAAATTGAGCACATGTATGCCTTTTGATTACAAGCAGCTCCCTTGGTTTTAAGAGGCTTATGCATACTGTGGCAAGGTGCTTTTACATTTGCAGGATTGAGAACTTTGCTTCTATGCTTTTTAGGCCAGCTCCTGTCTTCATTTGTAAAGGCTGGTTTTTGCCTTTTTTTTTGGCATAAGAAACAAAGCACTGTTAGTTGAATGGCTCAAAAATTATTTTTCTGATAAATGGATTAATTTAACCCAGATTTGCCTTTCCATTGTTTCCTGAAGCAGCTCACTGCAAATCCTTATTAAAATTATCAGGTTATGAATAGTACTCTCATGCTCACAAGCATTTTACCACACAGAGCCACTAGAATGCAATGTGTCTCTTTCTCCCATTTCAGTGATGTGATGCACTCACTACAAACACTTGTGAATGTGAGTCATGTAAATAAGAGCCTAGCTTGTTTTCTTCTAGCAATAAGGGGATAGAATGGCTGAA